CAAGGTCTAGGTTGTCGACTAATTCTTTCCCTGAATTAGATAGCAAATCAGGAGCAGCTACCCGGCCAGTATGTGTACCAGACGCCAAGAAAGACTTGGTAAGCATAGTAATAGGAAGTACCTAGTAGGAGGAACTACTGGCCCCTTCTATAATAGCAGTTCGGGTTTGCTTGCGCCCCCCCTCTATACTGCTCGGCACACCCAAATAGGCATGTTTTCTTTTTCTCTCATTCTCGGGTTCTTTGCTTTTGCCCTTGTCCTTGCGCTTCTTGGGTTGATTTTCCAAAAGGACTAGGTCTCGGGAAAGAGGGCGAGACTCACACACATTGGGAAGATGATCAAATTGAGGGTGTCAGTGCTCCTCAATTGGTGTACCTTTCGGTATCCTTTTCTTCAAAGTATGACGAAAGGTCGGCACGTCAACACATGTTGAGCCATCAGACCTGCAATAAAAACAACAAGTCAAATCAATACAAATTGAATTAAAAATCAAGTATGGAGACGAAACATACCCTCCATGTCAAGGCGAGGATGAGGAGATTTTAATACTAAAAATATGTGTCGGGTAGGAAGGTCTCGGGGTAGAGACTTCAAATAATCCAAAGCCGACAACTCCCTAGCTGATAACAAGTCCTCAGGAATCCAGTCGTACCGGTGAGGTACTCGGGTCCAGTGGAAAGGAAAAAGGGGATTATTTTCACTATCAAAGAAAAAATTTCTACCTACAGGGTGGACGATTACTTTGAAGTAACCGGTCTTAAAACCCTTAAAGACGAAGCGTAGGGCTTAAACAATGGCAATTCTGGTTGCCTTATTAAAGAGATCCATCTTGTCAAGTCTGATGGACGAGTACAGAAGAAGTAAAGAAATAAGCATACACTAGGTTCTATATAATGAAATTTACATAGTACTCTAAAGACTTGGATAGCCGCCCACCCATTCAGATGGAGTTGCGTCGGCGCTACATTTAAAACCCTTAATATTCCCATTTGAAAGTCATCAAAGGGAAATTTTATATCTAGTTTTCTAAACATATATTCATATACAAAGAAGGTGTCAGCCATCCCGGCACCCCCTACAAAAACAAATTCAGGATTCTCGGTTTCATCCCCTCGGCAAGGGTCAATGGATATGGGATAAGGATCAGAAGGTTCCCATAGTGAAATATCACAATGGTCCACGAAAGATTGAAGACTCCTATTTTTATTAAACCAAGAGAAGTAGGCGGCTACTTCACCGTGTACCAACTCGTATTGGTCTTTCCCTAGGAGGACTCATGCTTGGAAGAAGCTCAGCAGAGTCAGAGTCAGAGTCAGTTGACTCAGATGATTCGGCCTCATCACTACATTCTCTAAGATGAGTTTCTACTTCTTCGGTTACCCTATTCAGCCTTAAAGAAGTTTCCATCCTCCCTTCGGTTCTGTCAACGCTCTGATCATTGACACTAGTCGGCATAGATGAATCCGACAACGAGTCCTCCCATTCTAAGGATCCGGCCATGGTTTAAATAAGGAAAGGAAAAGAAAACAAAAGCGTACCTCACAAGTAGTCGGTTTGGAAGACAGAAATTTAAGTACCCTTCGATTTGAAACAACAATGAATACTATTCGACTCAGAGAAAAAGTGGAGAACAAAAGACCTGGACCACCAGATACTTATAGGAAAGGAGCGGTCGGGTATACGAAGGGTCACCTCCCCTCTGAAACGTTAGATATTTTCCAGATCAACGGTTAAGAGCGAGCACCCCTTCGTCTTGCGCACACACATCGAAAAAAAATCTTATTCTAGAATGATCTTTTTATTATTATTTATGATTTATCTTTTTTTTTTTTTCAATCTACACCACTTTTTTGAAAAACTGAATACCCTTTAATATACACCCCGGCTCACCAAAAAAGGTTACAAATACTTTAACCAAATACCCTATTCGGCCTAGTTCGCATATCTTCAAACCAACTACCCCTTCGGAATTCCTGTTCGTCATTTAAACTAATTATTCCCCTTAGTATTCGACCCTCCTAATAAACCGAGTACCCCCTTATCTATCTGTTTGATACTTGTCCGTCTTTAAAAGCCCTTACCTCGTACCTCTTCGGGCTTGGGGGACTAGTGTACTGGATAGAGAATTGCTCGGTCTTACATATAGGAAAAGGAAACTGAGTACCTATTCGGTCCAGTTTGGCCGAATATCTTGTTATCAGGATTAAAAGGTAATTAACTCAGTTAAAGGTAATAATCAGAGCATTATCTATTTTAAGTAAATGGCCAAAATTAAGGTTGACACATCAGGCCCATTAGCCCATAATAAAGCCTATAAAAGGAATGTAGGAAGTACAGGTAAAGGGTTGACTTTCATTATAAAATAGCATTTATTGTTTAGAATCGAATCCTGACTTCAGCATCGGAGTACCTTTTGCAGGTACTCTCCCACCTCAGCAACGGTCAGAGAGACGTCATCGCTACATATCAGAGACTTAAAGATTAGTGTTTCCCCAAGTAGAAACATATATATATATATATATATATATATATATATATATAACTTTTTTTTCATCTGATTTAATTCCTATTTGACCTGGGTCATAGATGTAATAGATAATTTCACTATTAAATTTTTTTTATATACACAATAAATATGATAAATAAATTTATCATTAAATTTTTTTTTATATACTAAAATTCTAACTTAAAATTTTATTTAAATAATGTTAAACTGCTTTTTACCTGAATTAAAGAGTTGGTATATATACATAAGCTTTAACTGTGAAACAAATAGTTCCTGAAATTTTCCATTTGTTTGGTCACAGGATAGTTTATTAGAACCTATGCATCTAATTAATTTCTGCGCCGGTCGTTGGATTCTATGCCCCATCTGTTCCCAGTCTCACCAACCCAAACCCACAGTCAGTGACACTACTTTTCAGAAACTACTTCCGAAAACTGATAAAAATTTTAATATATTAACTGCTCATTTGTAAATTATTTTTTTCTAAAAAATTGTAAATTTATTAGTTAAAATGTATAAAAATTATAAAAGTTTCGTGAATATTTTTTATTTTTTTATTTTTAATAAATTCTAATTAATAATTAAAATTACGTGATAAAGAATTTATCGGTATCATTACTCGTATTGTTTTAGGCTTACATTTGTTAGAAGCTGAAAGGAATCTAAAAAGAGTTCCCCAAAAGCACAAATTATTGGTCATCAATTTCAGCTGGCTTCTACTTCTATCAACGCAAACAAAACAAAGGGTTCTTCAACGGCCCATATCTCACCTCAATAATGAGTTGCCTTATTGAAAAAAAAATGCATTTAGACTTATAGTTTAATTAATTGCTTATTTATATCATAAGAAATTCACTACTTATTTAATTAATTTTTATAAATTGTGAATAATTAATTTATAAAAATTAATTAAATAAGTAGTGAATTTCTTATGATATAAATAAGCAATTAATTAAACTATAAGTCTAAATAATTAATTTATTAAAATTAGTAAAGAATTTATATGCTGTAAATTTATATAGTTTTAAAAAATTATGATACAAAATGATTAAAAAATAATTAAATATTTGATAATATAATTTTTTGAATGAAATTAAATTTTTTAATAATTAATATATTTTAAAATAAATTTATAGTTTTATTATAAAATTTTAAAAATTTACAGATCAGTATTTTAAAAGCACAGGTTAAAATTTTTTTAAAATAATTTCTATAAAAAATTATATTCAACTATAATTCAGTTTGGATAAAATTTTGAATAAATTGTAAAACTAAAAAATTAAAATAATAAAATAAATAAATCTCTTTTCATAAATTAAATTAAATTAATATTTTTTTACTGGTTAATAAATATTTTTTTAGAATTTGAAACAGATTATTTATTTATTATCTTAATTTATTTGTTATAAAAATATATTTATAAGAAGTATATTTATTATTTTTTAATAAAAAAATTACATTTAATTTTTTTAATAAATATTACTGGTTAACATTTGTTCTTGTTGAATATTAGTAAATATATTTTGTCCTCCAACGGGTGAGGGAAAATGACATAAGCAGCCTGCAATCTTCGTCCTCTTCGTAGCCAATTGGTGCTTAGTCTTTCAGGACGTCAAAAGTAGTTCTAGCCATGCAGATAGCCCTGACCTGCTCTATACTCTTTTTCTCACTATTTTATTCATTTTCATTTTAAAAACCACTTTAAATATTTATTTCAATATTAATTATTATGTTCTATATTTTTAATATATATATATAGATTCTCTGTAAAAAATATACATAGGTTGATCTTTAAATAAAATGATTTAACTCGATTCCTAGGCAAGATACACTCTATCTAGAGTTTGTTTCTATAAAGCAATTTTATATAAATAGATATATTTTTAGTGAGAGATTAGAGAAAATGAAATAAAATCTACAGATTTTCTTTTTATCTTTTATGAGCCACTAAATGAACATTAACTTGGATTTTTTAATTTATTTTAATATTAAAAAGTTAAAAGTAAAATAAAGGTGACATGAATTTTGTTATCTTCTTACTTTTTTTTTTTCTAATTTCATTCTTTCATTCAAATAAATCGTTAAAAGATAAAGTACAATAATAATCATGGATCAAGACATTAATAATTATATTTATGATAAAATATATTCATATATGAAATGCATTAAACACTATCTTAAAATTAAATACTGAATTCATTATTAAAAAAATAAAATTATGAATTAATAAAACGTAAACACGAAAACCAAGAGAACAAAAGTGATAGCGCAATATTGGGGCGGTGCAGGGGCGCCATCCACCATCGCCCGTTACTTTAGCAGTGTTGTGAATATATTTTAATAATTCATACGAAATAATAAAAATTTATTAAATATTATTAATATCATGCAATTTATAATAAAAAATGAATATTTCGATGAAATGTGGAAAAATAGAGATTAAAAAAACCCTAATTTATAAATATAAGAATGGAATGAAGAGAGCGAGAAAGAATGAGAGATATCAGAGAAAGAGCGTCAAATACATGAAAGAGAAGAGAGAGAGTGAGATGGTGCGAGCAGAGCCTCCTCTGGTTCTCGGCCTCCAACCATCAGCTCTCGTTGACCACGTGGCACGCGTTGATTGGTCCTTGCTCCGTCAAATTCACGGCCAACACGGTGGCTCCATACCTGTATTCTCTCCACCGTTCTCCATTCTTTTCTTACTTCATTCTCACGTTACTTTTTATATGTATGTTTGCCTCAAGCATCAATTTAATGTGATTTTAGTTCATTTTTTAATATACATTATTTCTATTAATACTAAGCTTCTTCTCGTATTTTTTTTTCCCTTTTCCGGAATACTTTATAATTTTAAAACTGTGTAAAAGAAGAGTGTGTTTGAAAACTTTTGATGGGTTTCGATATTATTAGGAATTAATGTAACGTGGGAACGTGGACATGATATGACATGACATGTATTAATGGGTCGTAGGTTACGGTCGGAGAACTTGAAGATATAGTGAGTAAGGTAAAAAAGCATGTTCTTCCCTTCCCTGAGTCTGATGATGATTCTGTTTCCACTTCTCCCGTTGAGACCATGGCTGGTGGCAGTGTTGCAAACACAATTCGAGGGCTGAGTAGTGCTTTTGGAATTTCCACTGGAATCATTGGGGCGTGTGGGGATGATGATGAGGGACACTTATTTGTCCATAACATGAAATTCAACGGAGTTGACCTCTCAAGACTTAGGAATCAGAGAGGACATACAGCACAGGTTGCATCAATTTTCATCTGTACTTACCAATTTACCCTCCAATAATCTCTCAAGTTAATTGTCAAAATTATTAAAAATATTTTATTAAAGACTAAAATGCATGATTTATATGATTTTAAAGACTAATTTAAGGAGCTTGAAAAGTAATTTTTTTTCGAAGAGTATTTTAAAAGCACGTGATATTGTTTGATTCGAAAACTTGATAATAGAATAAGAACCTTGAAAAATAAGTTTTGTTTTTCTTGATATCACATTTTTTTGCTATTACTGAAGGCCTTGATATAAAAGTGGAAATTTAACAACAAAACTATTGCCAGTGTGTTTGCTTGGTTGATGCCTCGGGAAACCGTACCATGCGACCTTGTCTCTCGAGTGCTGTCAAAGTTCATGTACGTGATTCTATTGTCTCATCTTTATGCATATAGTTTGGGCTAGAATATATATGTAGTCATAAGTTAAATCTTGTTCAATTTGTCTCTTTTCAGGCAGAGGAATTGACCAAAGACGATTTTAAGGGCTCCAAGGTTGTCTCTTCAATTAAAATACCATGGGAACTCTAGTGTTTAGTACCTTATATCCTATACGTTTCCCTTGTTCTTATAATGTTTTTTAATTATTTATTTCATGATAAGGATTATATTCATTAAATTCTATGACTGAATTAATTGATCATGTATGTTCCATTAAAACGGATCACAGGAAAACTCTGCGAGCATACTAACGTAGTTGCTGATATATTTTAACATTTCCAGTGGTTGGTTTTAAGATATACTCCACTTGATCTGGAAGTTATTCAAGCAGCCATTCTTTTAGCAAAACAGGAAGGTCTTTTGGTTTCCTTGGATTTGGCCAGTTTTGAGGTATTCTATGCAGCTCAAATTTTCCAACCAGCCAAGCTGAATGCGTGTTTAGATTATCATCAAATTCACTAAAAAATTATAGCTTTCCGTTGAAATGTGTTTTAACATGATTTCAATTAATTTCCAAACACACTGAATCAACCACAATTAGTAATGATACCATGTTTCATGTTTATGTGGACAAGATGTATATATACTAAATTACCAATATTGATCCAAATATTGTAGTTTTTCATTTTTCACACATATTAGTTGTTATGTACATAATGGCATAAGCTATATAAATTATATAACTTCTCTTACATAGTCTCTTTATTTTGGCAAGATGGTTAGGGATTTTAAACAACCACTTCTGAAGCTACTTGTGTCTGGGAACATAGACCTTTGCTTTGCAAATGAGGATGAGGCAACAGAGCTTCTAAGGTGACTGTCATTTCTACTTAACCACACTTCATATCAAGATATGCATTTTCCAAGTTATTTGTCGTCTTAATATTTCATTTAACAAGTAATCTGTTCATTGTTTTTGTTGCATAATGTCAATATACTTTACAATTACAATGGATTCAGGGACGAACAGGATGCTGATCCAGAAGCTGCCGTTGAATTTCTGGCCAAATACTGCCAACGGGCTGTAGTAACACTGGGTCCTAAAGGATGCATAGCTAAACATGGAAAAGAGGTGTGAAAACTATTTATGTGTATTACGTTTTGCACCCAATATCCTTTCTTTTTGTAATATGGTGTACAATTAGTCAGCAAGCATGTGAAAAATATTCAACTTCTAGCGTAGGTAGCCGAAATGATTAACTAGTAATTATTATAAATTATGTTTCTTTGAAATATTTAAGTGTATATCTCAGATTGTACGTGTCCCGGCCATAGGAGAAGAAAAGGCATGTGATGCTACAGGAGCAGGGGATCTTTTTGCAAGTGGGTTTATGTATGGATTGATAAAAGGTGTGTCACTTGAAGAGTGCTGCAAAGTGGGTGCATGCAGTGGTGGGTCTGTTATTTGCTCTCTTGGCGGTGAAGTGACATTAAAGAATCGGCAGTGGATGTACAAGCAAATGCAAATAAAGGGTCTTCGCACGCCTGATACATCCAAATGAAGCTGTTGCCTCCCTTTCTTGCCGTTAAATGGCAGCTATTGCATCATTTAAGACTTGTTTGATTAATGCTAAACAAATTCCACGGACACACTTGACTTGAGCTTGATGCAAGATGGAATGTAATTCCTTCGTTAACTTAAACATACCAAACTCATGGTTACTTCATTTTCTTAATTGTTAATTGAGAACGTCTAAATTTTTCAATGATAAAACTGTAGTTGGCCAAATATTTATCTTTAGCTAATATCATACTTTAAGTTTATTCTTAAAAACTATTCCGTGTTATGTTTAGTTTCCTTTTGCAGATAAAATAGTCATGTTTCAAGTCTTAAAATGTTACAAAATTGTTACAAACTAAATCCAACAATAAAGAAATTAAAAATAATAAAGAAAAAGACGTGAGTAATATACTATATTTATATTATTGAAAAATTAAAAAATTAGTAGAGTTACAATTACTATTGCCTGGAGCTGGCTCCAATTGAGAGGTATTACTCTCTATCTATAACTACTCCAAAGATATTTCTCTTCAATGTCCTCTTCTCAACACATTCCCTGGATATATAGAAAAAAATGTCTCTTCATAACTAACTTTCCCTATTGCCTTCTCTCTTTGCCAGTTCATCGTTCGCTTCATTTCTTCTATTTCTCTTAGTATAAAATCTCCAGATTGTGGGCCTCTTGTGTGGTTGTTAGACAAGAATTCCTTCCTGACTATTTTGGGCCATAACACTGCCCTTTTCTTGATTTCCAGCCTTGTCTTCAAGGCTGAAGCTTAGAAACTGACTGCGGACAGTAACTTCATCCACCCAAGTAGCTTCATCAACTGACTTTCCCTTCCAATGCATGAACTTCTGGGCAATTGTTTCTCCGCCTCTAGTTACAAGACGAGAAACTAACACAACCTACGGTTTCAACATCTCTGTATACTCACCATCCAAACCCGGTGGTAAATCTTGTTCAACTTTGTAATCACTCACAGCCTTCTCGAGTAATGAGACATGAAACATAGGATGAATCCTTGATGTTTCAGGAAGTTGCTGCTTATAAGTTACAGTTCCTATACGCTCCAACACCTTGAAAAGAGCATAATATCGAGCTGAAAGTTTGGCATTAATACGGGCAGCAATACAAATTTCTTTAGAAACACCCACTCGCCAACCTCAAAATTTCTGTCATTCCTTTTCTTGTCAGCTTGTTCTTCATTCTATCTTGTGCAGTAAATGCTATTTGAGTTGCCTAAGTACCTCATCTCTATCAAGCAACTCACGTTATACAGCTTCTACATTCGTCACAGCGTGGACGAAACGAGTTAACACCGGAGGCTTCCTCCCATAAAGGACTTCAAAGGGTGTCATTCTCGTCGTTTCATGGAAATTAGTATTATACTAATATTCTGCCCAATGCAACCACTGAACCCACGTCTTAGATTGATCTGCAAATTGCAGATAAGTTTCTAGACATCAATTTACTACTTTCATCTGACCATTCGTCTTAGAACGGTAAGCAGAACTTATCTTGAGGAGTACCTTGCAACTTAAATATCTCTTGTCAAAAATTACTAATGAAGATAGATCGCAGTCAACAATGGGAAAAAGGAACACCATGTAGCCTCACCATTTCCTTCGTAAACATCCCTGCCACAAACCTAGCACAGTAGGGGTGCTTCAAGGTGATAAAATGAGCGTACTTCAAGAGTCGATTCACCACAACAAAAATCGCATTATACTCCCGTGATTTAAGCAACCCATTAACGAAGTCCTAGAGACATCTTCCCAAACCTGCTCCGGAATATTTAAAGGCTGCAAAAGACTACCGGGTGACATGGCCATGTACTTCTTTCACTGGCAGACATCAGAATTCTAGACAAAATCCTGAACCACCTTTGTCATCCCAATCTCATAATGGTTGACAGCAAGCCTTCTGCATTTCTTATAAAAACCAGAATGCCCACCTTGGGGAGAAGCATGAAATTCCTTTTAACAGTTAAGGAATCCAAGGAGATGCTTATAAAAATCAGAAATTCCTTCTGAATGCCCTAATTTTGCATCATCTGACTTAGGAATACCTGATGCTTATCCTCTTAACATAACTGATATGATAGGGCTGTGAAAGATACAATAAATATGCGCGATTCAATCCTGGTAATCAAATTTATTTTCCCCCCTTCCCTACCCCATGAGGTTGACTTCTGTTGAGTTCAAGACCAACCTCACTCTTTAATCCTTCTTAGAACCTACCCCTAATCGTGGTAATTAACACAATCGTGGTAAAATTTTTATTTTTTATTTTTGGGTCAGGGATTCAATCCTGGTAATAAATCAACTTTACACTCCATTCCCCTCCCTATGTAGTCGACTGCTATTAATTAAGTCTACCTCACTCTTTAATCCTTTTATAGAATCTATCCCTAAATAATACTTGAAAAAAAAAAAAACACAAACATTAAAACACTGCACTCATGTCTAGCCAGTTTTTCATAATTTACGAAATAATGTTACGCACGACAATAATTAAACCTTAAACTGTTTGTCCAACTTTTTTCACCACTAATTTCAGTAAATTGTTGTAAATCGCGCGTTCAAGTTCATCAAACAGCCATTAAATCGTTTACAATGATCAGCCATGGATGAATTGCAGAAACAAACAATATTGAGGAAAGAAAATCCATCAAAGAGATATCCTTTTCCATGACACACCCAACATGATACCTAGTCATCTTTAAATATCAGAATTTAACACCTCTAGTACTTGATCTTAAATTATCAAATGTCCATGGGAGAGCCACCACGATCTTCAGCACCACCTTGATCTGCACCAGAACCCTGATCTGTGGCAGCATCCTGCTCAGTTGCTGGCTGAGGTTCAGTTGTAGGGCCTTCTTCCTCCCTCACGATCTCAAAAGTATCAATCAGATGCTGAACAGTTTCCTGATCTAAAATGTGGAAAGGCTCATCAACTCCAACCACAGCAATTGTGCAAACAGAACTCCTGAGTTTTTCACCTTGCAAAGACTCCCTAGTTGCAATAAGTGCATCTTTGATCAGATCTTCTCTTGAAGAACCCACAAAGTTTTCAAACCTGCGTTCCAAGTAAGTCTTTGCAGCTTGAGAGCGAGAGCCAATTGCAAAAGCCTGATATTCAAAATAGTTTCCACTGGGACAGTTGTAATAGAGGTGAGCTCCTGATTCATCTAATCCACCTACCAGAAGACCAACTCCATAAGGACGTTTCCATGATCGCTGGGTGCAAACCTGCAACTCAGAATTGTATCACAAAATACTGATGAGAAAGAGATCTTTTCAAGTCAAATAAATTTTGCAGATAAATCTTTCTTTCTGTCCACTTTTGCCATGTCATTCTGCAGATCCAAGCACAGGCATTGCTTCCCATACCCCATTCATACAACTTTCTACTTACTAAAACACAGGTCTAAATGTATATCTAACAGTAAAGCAGCCTAGCTAATACTATTTTTTTTTTTTTGTTATCTGTAAACAGAACATTTCACTTTCCAGTAACGTGACTAAATTTAAGAACCTAGTGCGGGGGTGGGAGGGGTTCTTCTTAAAATTATTGTTTAGCATACTTTTCTGTCGGTATCTACTGAATTATCTGTCAACCCCAGAAAGAAAATTCCAAGTAAAAAATATATGTCTTATTTCTTTGATGAGCACAAACTGTAGGATAACTAGAACCTTATTCAACTAGGTCTTTCACAAGCAAGTTATTGACTTGATATAACAGTAATCTGGATCCCACATGGCTTCATAAAACAGCCATCACAGGATAGATTTACAAGGCATAATAACTATGAAATCAAGCTACATAACATGGGAAGATGTAAACACAAATGTTAGCATCCTTCAGGGTTACCTCTCACTGTAAATAAAAACCTCGGCAGCACTATGAGCTATTTAAATTTCAAACAGAAATTGCACGCCAGACCTCTCCCTCAAACGCAACAAAGGAAGCACCTTTCTGTAAAATCTGTAACTCACTACAACCCTCAGTAAATCATTCCCCAGAATCCCCACAGCTTCCCTAGCACAAGACCATCCTCAAAAACTTGAAAGATAGAAGTTCACCATACACTAAATTATGAACATGGATTCTCAATTAGTCATTTTATATTTAAGAACACAGTTACAAGGTCTCCACAGAGAAACAAAAACGACCAGCGAGACATAAAAAAAGTTCACTAGGCATAACTAACACAATTCTGCATCCAACTCCACCCGTTTAGTTTCAGACTTCGGCGTTCATGGAGAAACACGACCTCATCCCAATTCTCAGTTCGAACAAACACACCATAGTTCGATCACAAAACCTAAATTCGCATACAGCCCCAATATCAAACTATCTAAACAGCTTTTACAGTTCATCAACACTTACAAAGTAAAAATCAAATAACATAACTATAAATGAAATATGAACACACAAAACATTATTGTTCCCAAATAAAATCGAAATTAAATAGTGCAGCCCACTAACCCTAATCATCGTCAACTCCAGCGATGAAAAACAAAAGAAATAGAAAATGAAACCAACGACACATAAAAAAAAACCCCAAACGAACACTAGTTTGAACAAAAAAAAGTGATTGAGGAAGAGCGGTGACCTGAGCCTTGTCGGCGAGCTGAACGACAAGACGACCAACGGGAAGAGGTGACTCGTAGGTGTAGGCGTAGTTGATGCACTCGGATCGCATGTAGCGGGAGAGAACGCGACCGTCGGCGGTGAGTCCGGCGATGGCAACACCGATGTGGTTGTCAACCTTGAAGATCTTCTTCTGGTGAGAGGAGAGTTCGGAGTTTGCCTTGTTGACGCACGCGAGAACCACGTGCGTCTTCGATCGGAGGCCAATTGCAGCCGAACCTTGCTTCACCGCCTCCATCGCATACTCCACCTGGAACAACCTACCCGCTGGACTCCATGTCGTGACGTCCGTATCGTACTGGTTTCTGAACATTTTCCTCTTCGATTCGCTACCACACCACAACAACAACCCTCTTCTTCTTCTTATTTCACCTCTTTTTCTTTCTCTTCAAGAAATTTCTTTCACCACTCTACTCCACTTAGTCTTTTTCTTCTTCAGTGTTGCACAAGTTGTTGTAAAAGTAACCGGGTAACACTCCGATCCGGAATGTTTCTGTTTAATGGGCTTTCCACATTTTGGATTGCCCCAATCGGCCCACACGCTCATTAAGATGGGTCGTCCGATTTTGTTAATATGCTGATTCAGTGTTCATGTATAGTTCAAACTTGTGTTTTCTGTACTGTACCTTTGGACTTAGGCCTTTTGGGCCTTTTTAAATTGATGAGTGAGATTCAGTTGACAAAAAAATCACCATGCATGTAATAAATATCAATTATAATATATTTATAAATAATTTTTATAAAAAATATTACATTCTAGTCTTTACAATAATATAGTGAATTTATAAGCATAAATTATGACTTTCATAAGCATTTTTTTAAAACTTATTTCAATAAATATATTGGTATAACATATTAAAATAAGTTGTTAACATATTTCCAACAAGTTTTATGGTTAAATTTATGATACAAATTATCATATAAAAAATTTATTTAATAAATACTTAATTAAAATAGATTTTATAAGAGTGTTTTATTATGTTTTAATTATTGTTGTTTTAATACTATTAAAAAATTATTGTTTATTTAGTGAAACATGTTAATAGTATTAAAATGGAATGAATGAACCAAGAAGGAGATATACATATTCTGAGCTTCAAACAATGAACTCTACCATCGAAACTATTTTCTTTTCTTGTCTTTCTTACACTTTGTTATTCATCTCTTACTCTCCTCTCATACTTTTTCTTGTAATCTCACTTATCTTCTTGCTTATCATAGTTGTGACATTGTGCTTCACTTCTAGCATTCAATAGACTCTCTCAACCTCATACTTGTTCTTTTTGCAATTCTTTGTAACTTCTTTAGCATAACACCACCCAAACTCAAATCATACATTGATATTAATAATCCCATGATTATTGTTTGAAGGATAGAGAAAATATTAATTTTAGAATCAAGTAGTACCAAGTAGAGAAGTAAAATATGCTGATTGCATTTATTCTTTGGAGGAAAAGGATAAAATTGGAATTATTTGAACTAAAAAGTGAATTTTAATAATTTTATGTGGATTAAATAAAAGTAAATTTCAACAATTTTATAAGAATTACAAATAAATTTAACTTTTTAACAACACGATTACCTATTAACAAAAATTGAATAATGATACAAACTAATTCTACGTTAAGAAGTGAATTTATACGAAAACTAAAAATTTATTAAACCCAAAATTTAATTTGTAAATTTCAACTATAAATAACAACATATATTAATCTTATTAAAAAACGAAAAGGAAAAGTATCATTTGGCTTTGCTGCTTTAGACATTGGAAACAACCAATGTTATCATTAGTTCGAGATTCTCCAAAACTCATTTTTCGCCACCATCTTCGATGCATGAGCTTTTTATGTTGGTGATTGATTATTATATCCACTTTATCAGTTGTTTAGAATAAAAAGAAGAAGAAAACACTTTACTATTATACCTAACTTGTTGCTTTGCTCGCACATGCCTGGAATTGTTTTTTGTTAGTCTCTCTTCTCTCTCTGTTTTTCTTTAGGTAGTGAATGGTAGCTGATTCTTTGTTTCTTCTTTCGGTTAAGTTTGTTTGGTTCTTAATCTAGGTCTTCAAGAGTTTCTTTGAATGGCTCCGTGTAAAGTCACAAGATCTAACAGTTGGTACTCTATTTAATTACCGTTGTACAGATCAGGGACACCACAGCGTGAGACACTACCAAAATCCCATGGATGAGAGAATAGATTAGAGAAGTCATTATTGAATTTGCACATATTCGAATTATAGAAGATAAATATAATGGGATAATGATTAGTGTGGAAGTTCAATTTATTGATGTTTAGCATAAAATTTTAAATGTTAATAGGTTTGCACAAAATGCAAAAGCACAATGATGGCTTGTTATTAATGTTTTGGAATTAAACGATCTAAATCATTTGATATCGTAAGTTGCATGAGTTAGGTGTACCAAAATTCTTACCAATGATGGAGATATTGATGGGATCATGTGAGGTTTAAGATAGAATTTCATCAATTAAAGGATAATGCAAATAAAGATATGAATATATAAGAATATAGAAATGTGATGAAATATACTGTCGAAATTTCAACCACTGTCCAAGTTTAGTTCCTGATCTATTTAAGGTTTTTTTCCCTTAATGAAATTTTTCAGATGAAACAATTCCCAGTTATATTTAAATAAACCGCATCAAAGCAACAGCTAAATATGATTGAACCGCATCAATTTTTTTATGTAATTTTTTAACGGTAACTATCTTCAGAGTAATGATTAGAAAAACATTATGATATTGATGTAAAGTTGTTGTTTTATGGCTCCAATCTCTCTCTTAATATTAAGTAGGATTACATGGCAATAAAGCTTTAAAAATAATGTCTTAATAGGACTCTTTAGTTCTTTTTTTCAAAAGGAGTGAAAGAATAAAAGAAAAATAGGAATGCGAAAGGAAGAAAAGGTTATCATAATTAGATCATGACTTTCTTTTTTGCCCAAGTGTATTGGCCGAAGGGCAATCTTATCAAATGGTTCCTTCAATAATTGCCCGTTTGAACTTTGTGAATGATAGGATTTCAAATTGCAAATATCTAACAAAAAGAAAACTCCAAATATCTAAACTCACAGTAATGAGTCTTTTTATACATAATTGTTAGATTGTACATAAATATAAGTTGAGTTATTGGTATACACATTATTTTTATGGTTAGAGTTAAGTTCAAGCGGTTTGAGATCAACACTCTAATATATTTTTTTAAAATATGTTTTTAATTATTATTTAACATTTATTAAAAATTATAAAAATATAAAAAATATTAAATTAAGAGTAAAAAATAATGAAATTCACGCAATTCTTATAATTTTTATATAATTGCATATAATACTAACGAGGCAATATTTTTGTGTTAAAAAACATTTTTTTCTTTAATTTAATCAAATACTAATCAAGTCCTAAATTTGTAACGAGGAAGTGAATGACTTCCAGCCTGTTCAATTTGAGACTTTTTATCTGCAGGAAAATTGAGACACGTAGGGATGACAACGGTATAATATTTATTGAGTCTCTGAAAAAAAAATTTCATAATAGATAAATTTAATATTTATTTAAGGGATTTTGACTTGAGTATCAGCAAAATTTTTATAAAATTTCATGACATTAATCTGCACTATGATATCTATATTTATTTATTCATATTAAATATATTATTCTATTTATATATTAATTGTATTTGCATGTATAGATATACCGATATAAATAAAATAAATTTTAGCTGTAATTTTGTACGTATATTATGTTGTAATTTAGTATTTTCGTATTATAATTGATTTTAGAAAAATAATTTTATTGAAAATTTTATACCTATGTTCTTATAACAAATATTCTTTATTATTTAGTCTATAATTGTATTTATATTTTATTAATTTATAAAAAGTATTTCAATTAATAAATCATGAATAATAAAAATTAATATCCAAGTTTAAAAGTATTAAATAAAAATAAAAATTATTATTCACATAAATATAAATAGCTTTATAAAATACAAACATAAAAAGGAGTACTATAATGTCTTATTTAAAGAGTACTCGTTGCCATTTCTCGCACACGCTGTTGAAGGTGCATGCACTTGGGAACGATTCGCGAACATCTACTTGCACTGAGCAAAAATGTTAAATAGATTGGCCACTAGTGCCAATGAAAACACCAATTAATAATAATAATAATTTTTTGGAATAGATTTTTTGAAAACGCACACGTCATTTTGATTTTTCTATATTAGATTTGGAAATATGAATTAATTAACAGGATGATTACAATTTTTCTCGACTCCATTTATATTTTGAAAATTAAAAGATAGTTACCACAATGCTTCACCGATGTATGGGGTCTAACCAAAGGAATAATTTTGTTAGGAAGTGACAAATCATAATTCAAATTTTTGTTGAAAAATATTCACATTTAATTTCCATTATTTTTCAATGAAGTCTCTTTTATAAAAAAAATACTTTTTCAAAAACCTTCAATTCTTGCCCTTTTTTAATATGAAAATAAAATAAAATAACCAAAATAGAGTATTTTAGAAAATTTACAAAAAAAATATATATTTTAAAAAATCATCCATAATAAATTTAAATTTTTTAATTATTTTTTTAAAATTTTCTACCAACGAGTTTTGACTTTTTATAATTTTTTAATGTTTTTAAAAAATAAGCAGTAATAATTTTAAAATTTTTAATTATTTAATTAGAACCTACACAAAAATTAACACCGAATTTTTTTGAATATATATATATAAATCCTCAATTCTTCTGTTTTTCAATTTTTATATAGTATTTAAAATAATAAATATTAATATATAAGATTTTTATAAAATTACAAAAAACATGTTATTCCAGAGGTAAATGACAATTGTGATAAAAGAAAGGTGTGAAAGCAGCAACAAGTCCGTGTCTGTGGTTGTACATATTGGCAATGACTAAGGAGCAGACAGCTGTAGGCAGCAATCAGCTCAGGAAAGCAGGTGAACTAAGGTATAGGAAAATTTACCTTTATTATATTTAATTTTTCATACCTTTATTTAGTTATTTTTCTTATTTTTAAATATATTTTTAATGTAAATATATATAATATAAATAATTGGATGTATTATTACATATGATATAAATTTTTAATTATTGAAATTGCAAAAATGGGATAAAATCTCCTTCAATAGAATCAATACCATGGTGTGATGTGCCAAAACTACCCCTTAATGACGTTATATTGGTACTGCTGAAGTGCTGCTGGGGGCCTATTCACAAGCAAAACGACAACACAGGAGACGAACCCCTTCTTTTTTTATAATTTTTTATTTATAATATTTGTGACTTTGACCGGTTCTTCCAGTCACCCGTCGTCCTCCCGGTTACACCGCCCAGAGTCAGAGGAGAACAGCTACGAGTTTGAGACAAGAATCGCCGGTTGCAAGTGCGTGCCACACCCCCTGATTGTGTTTTTCTGACGGTTAGACCGCGATTTTCTTTTCCCTCTCATTCCGTTGGAAAAGTCACTTTCACTCTTTTTTTTCCTCCCTCGCGTTTTGTGCTTCTTCACTTCTCCGCCCTTTGACTCTGCTGAATCAGTTAGCAGAGAAAAACAAAACAACGCAAGCAAGGTCGGAGAACTTGGCCGTCGCCGTCGCCATGGAGTTCGGAACCGCCACCGCGACTCTCACGAAGAAGCTCTCGAGCGGCTATGGCGTCTCTGGAAGATCCGCGTACGACGGCGTTTTTGCCACTCCGATCAAGCTCAGAGCTACGAGCTTCACTTCTCAATTCGACGATTACCGCGAGATTTTCGCTGGCTCCGGAGCTTCCCTTGGTTCCTCGATTCCGATTCTCGAGCTTCCGGAGCTCCACGAGAGGAAGACGATGGATGATGTTCGGCGCTCGAGGCTCGATTACTCGAAGGTCTTCGGCGGGTTCGAGAATCTAGACGCTGCTGTACCTTTTGAGGAGCTAGTTGCTGAGCCTAACGAGAATAATAGTTTCACCAATGCAACATCGACACGGTGAGTTCGCTTGCTGAGTTTTTTTCTTAGGGTTTTCATTTAACATGGACTTGGAATCATGAATGTGCATGAGTTTTGGTGTTTAACTTGAATTCCATATTCGATTCGAGAATGTTTGTTCGTTGAGCTTGCTTTGCTTCTGCTTCCTTTCGCTTTTGGCCTCTTTGTCGGTCATTTGATTTCTTTTTGTGAGAAGAGAAACTGTTTTTTTTTTTTTTTGCTCTCTCTCTCTCTCTCTCTCTCTCTCTCTCTCTTATTTGTGCATGCTTCCGGGCAAGTTATACCTTAACTTTTTTGTTATTTTTTTTAAGAAATAAGAGAGAGAATTGGAATCAATGAGAATGTTCTGTTCCGTTGGACTTTTTGATCCCCTTTGATGTTCCTTTTATTCTACTTCACTTGTTGAGGAGATCTTGTGGTTAAAGTTTCAAATACAATAGGGTTATAATTTTAAATTCGGAGTTGGACCTGGGGTTTACGTAGTTGCTCGAATACAAATACTTGAAATATGAATGTAAAGGTCTTCCTACTGGAAACGACTTTGATTTAACTTTTTTTTTTATACATTTATTTTTTTCAAATTTGTTCTTGCATTTTTTTTTAACTTGGATTTGTTGTCTTAAATTTCAAGCGACCTTCATACACACTCATTCCACCCCCAAAGTTGGCTGTAAAAATTTTACTCAATCAGCAAAATGTGAGAATGAGTTTTTAGTTCATGACACCTTGTTTATGACATTACTATATTATTGATTAGGTTAGTTCACGTTATTGGTGAAAATTATGCCTGTGCTGTACCATAAATGGTACACATTTATTCAACATTAAGCAAAAATGGTATCACGAAGGGGCGGGGGATGTGAATATTAAGCAGAGTCATCAATTTGTCTTCGTGGAAGGATGGAGATATTCTTTTGAAAACTTGCTATGTTGTGCAAATCAAATTTGTAGCATTAATTACAAACCGAGTTCTTGTAAGCTGCTTAGGATGCTAACTTTAACCTTAATGGTTTTCCTGACATTTGCTATTCTGTAGGAACAAAATCAAAGGAGGAAATCAATCTTGCCGGGAAGACCGTACTAAGCATTCAAAGGAAATTCCAGTAGTTTCACAGCCATCCACTGATGCCAAAAGGGTCAATATGTCATATCATAAAGTTAACCAAGGAAGTGAAATTGGAACAAATGGGACAACGCATATAGCTCAACTCCATGCTGTCCCCGCTTACACTCAGTTGATTGAAGAAGTCAATCCGGTGAAGTTGAACCGAGCTAACGAGCCTATATCATTAGCACAGGATACTTTGTCTGGTAGTCATTGCAATGAGGAGATAAAAGAAAGTGTACATTCTACCAAATCATTTACTGGTGTTTCATCTGATAATACTAACAAACAGTCTTCCAACAACGGAGTGAAAGTCAAAAATAGATCTGATCCTATTGATCTGTTTTTTGATGCATGTGAGATTAGTGATGGAATTAATGGAATACATTGTGCCAAAGTTCCTCTATCAGAGAATACTGCAGGCAACTTGAATAATCATATTGGTGATACTATGAAACCATCGCCAATCAAATGCCAGGCATCTAAAAGTGGCACATCTGAACGTGCTGCTGGCGGTGATTCACCTTCATACTTCGATGACATGGTAGACGCAAATTCAGAGGCAGCTGCTTCTTTAGCTGCTTTAAGAAAGGCAATAGAAGAGGCTCAAGTAAGAATGTTGGTTGCAAAAGAATCGATGAGAAGAAAAAAAGAAGGTTTTGCTGACCGTGTCAAACATAAGTCTAATATTGAATTAAAAGCTGAGGGAAAAAAGGAGAATAAAGTCCCATATAAAACAATGAAACCTGAAGAGATTAATACAAGGCAAACATTTAGAAATATGGACGCTTTGCCCAAAGCTTCTTCTGAGGTAGGAAAGTCAATGATGAGATTACAGCAAGCAAGATCAGATCGAGGGGCTAAAGAAGCTGTACAAGAAGCACAGAAGAAATTGAAATCAACTCAAGCAAAACATAAGGAAGAAATTGAACAAACAGAAGCAGATCATAAAGGAAAAGTTCTTGAGCTTAAAGAGGCAGAAAATCACAAGAAAGAGCTGTATATTAAAAGTACTGATAGTAATGCCTCTGATAAACCAGAAGAACCTGATCATACAATAGAAATGGTTCAGGAATATTGGGAGAAGGAGAATAATGAAGAAAAGCTCCATGCAGATAATGAAGCAAGTGCATGTGAAGAACCTGTCCAGGAACCTAAACATAGGTGTCAAGAAGTAGTAGATAAAACACAACTGATTCGGGAGACACTTGATAATGGAACAATGGATAAGATATTGAAGGTTAACAAAGATGGTGACTTTGAAAACAAGGTTACAGCTTTTTATGAACCAGAAGACTATGAAGGCAACCTGGGTGGGCAAGGTTTACTAACAGGAAATGGGAAAAAAGTTGCTTGTAAGTCAGAAGATGGTAAAATAGTTGAAGGGTCCTTTGAGCTGGAAGAATTGAAAATAAGTGCAGGAGCTGTTCTGGAACTGGGAGAGGTTGAGAAGAACATTGCTCAAGAGCAAAAAGGAAGTGAGGATAAAATCGCTTCCAATGAGCTGGAAGAATGTGAACTGACTGAATTTCAGGAGCCAAGTAACAATGAGAGTGTGTGCAGTCAGCATGGCTCATACTTTATCAGTATGGATAAAGAAATAAACGACTTGGGGTGTTTAGAGGATAGAAAGAAAAGGAATGAATCTGGTTTTCTGGATATAAATCAACAGACAGAACATTCCTGTCAGAGAGAAGCCTCTGATAATACATTTAGCAATATCTGTGTGCAGGAAATACTGGAGGATGTGGTGGACCATATTCATAATGAAGAAGAAATTTATGAAAAATATACAAAGGATAGTGAATTAGGTGGAAATAGTAGGGCTCTTGATGCCCAAGGAAGTGAGAATGAACTTGAAGGAGCATCCCTTCTGATGGATGAAAATATGAGGGAAAGGATAGATAGCAAGGAGCCAGTAGAAGTAATTAGAGTGATTCGATCTGATCCTATTTGTGAAGAGATAAAAGCAGAGGAAGCCGGCAAGACCACAGAAACTAGTTCAAGCTGTGAGCCAGATGAAACTGAGAAGTTGAACAAAAGAGTAGCTGATACAGTCATTGAAAATGAAGAAACTCTAGAAGTAAATCCTAAGGTTCATTCATGTGATGTGCAGGATGATATAATGGGAGCAGGTAATACTTCATCTCAACATCAAGAGACATCTGTAGAAATAGACTCTGTCCAGTACACAAATGATATCCATGAGAAACGTGCAGTTGAGACTTATGCTTTCATTCAAGGTTCCCTCAAATTTGATGAAGCAGTTGATCAAATGCAAAATATATTTGAAACAGAGACCTCTGAAGGTGCTGCTACAAATAATGATGACATTGACATAAAGGTTGGGCAAAATAAAGATCAGTGTAAGGAAAAGGCAGAAAATGAGTGCAATCTGGCAATGCTTGTTGAAGAAACAACTCCTGAATCTGTAGAAGTTTGTATGGATGCAAATGAGGCTAGAGTCACATTAAATGAAGAGGTAGATGAGAATCGATGTAACTCCTCTAATGAGGAAAATTTATTTGACAATGAACATAACATAGAAGCATCTCATATGCCTAGTACGGCTGAACGGAAATTAAGTTCCATCAAAGAAGAGGAGGTTGAATCAATTCACAGGAATCAAAAGGAGAGTTGTCAAGCATCCATAACAATGGAAGAGAAGGAAGCCAATGATAATTCACGTAAGGTAGAGCAGGAAAAGGAACACCTCAAAAAACTTGATGAAGCAAAAGAGAAAGAAAGAGAAAGAGAAAAGGAGAAGTTAGCCGTAGAAAGAGCAATTCGTGAAGCTCGTGAAAGGGCATTTGCTGATGCCAGAGAAAGGGCGGCTCTAGAGAGAGCTGCAGCGGAAGCACGGCAGAAGAACATTTCTGATGAACGGGAAAGGCTAGGAAAAATTGCAAGTCTGGCAAATGAGAAGACACCAGCTGTGAAAGCTGCCATGGAAGCAAAACTTAAGGCTGAACGAGCTGCTGTAGAGAGAGCAACTGCAGAGGCAAGGGCACGTGCCCTGGAAAGGGCACTTTCTGAGAAGGCTGCCTCTGAAGCAAGAAATAAATCTGACAAATCTGACAAATCTGTTGTGGGCCTTGGCGCATCCCGAGATACTGGAATGAAGCAAAACTTCCATTCAAAATCTTTCAGCTATGGTGGTATGAGATGTTCAAAAATGCCATCTTTTTTACTATCTTTTTCTTGTATTATATTATTATCAGTATTATATGTTTGAATTTTTATTGATTCTATAACTTGCATTTTCTTGTAGAAGTTCGTGATTCTACTGATGTATTTGATGGAGATAATTGTGATTCTGCTCAGAGATGTAAAGCTAGGTCTGAGAGGCATCAGAGAATAGGGGAACGTGTGGTATGGTTCCTAGTTTTGCCCCATATTTTTTGTACAAATTTGTTAATATGTCAATTGGTTTGTTCATTCTTTGTTTTGGATTCTCAGGCGAAGGCCCTTGCAGAAAAGAATATGCGTGATAGGCTTGTGCAGAAGGAGCAAGAGGAGAGAAATGTAATTTTCTATCAAATTTTGCATGTCACATCTTTCACATTTTTTCTTACGAAAAATCTCATTTTCTGCAGAGGGTAGCAGAAACTCTCGATGCTGATGTTAAAAGGTGGTCAAGTGGGAAGGCAGGAAACTTGAGGGCATTGCTTTCAACATTACAATATGTATGTGTAAACATCCTAAATATACGTCTTTCAGAATTTAAGCTTGGTGCAAATCTTGAGATTGATATACCTTGATGGATAGATAGATAGACACACTTGCCATGGGCCTTTTGTTTCTGTTAATTTAAAACTACTGAATCAATGTGCGAGAAAAGTATTTTCACATGCTAGTCTGGAAAGTTTGTTAACTAGGCTGACCTGGAGGAAATGTTCATTTTGCCTGTAAAAACAATTTGAGTTCTTATTTTGATTGAATACTGAGAAAATACATGTGAATGGATTGATAACTATCAAATATCATGTTCTCGTACACTCACTTTCATATAATAGAACCAAATATTCACTTGCTTGAACTCCAAAACCTGTTTACTTATTCTAGTATTACTTTAGTACCAAGCCCTTTAGTTTTGTCATTGGTGTTGCACGGTAGAAAGCCATTTTGCTTAGGAATATTCTATTTTACTTGTGTTTCGCAGATCCTGGGGCCCGACAGTGGTTGGCAACCGATTCCTTTGACAGATATAGTAACCGCCGCAGCTGTAAAGAAAGCTTATCGTAAAGCAACTCTTTTCGTGCATCCTGACAAGCTGCAGCAGCGGGGTGCCAGCATTCAACAGAAGTACATTTGTGAGAAGGTTTTTGATCTTCTAAAGGTTTGGCCTTCATTCATCATTAAACATGAAAATTAATTTTTTATAAAAAAAGAATTGCAAACATTTTATTCTATTTAGTTCTTCTACTTCACATCTCTACTGATATAGAAATGACAAAATACGTTTTTTTTTTTAATTTTCTCCAGGAAGCTTGGAACAGATTTAACATGGAAGAAAGATAAACCGAACTCCGTGTTGTGTTGATGGCAATGCGCGCGGTGGTGACCATTCTTTTCAAATGTATTGTAAAGTAAGTTCGAAGAAGTCAGCAAATATGGATGGGCTGAATGTGGAACTTTCAACGTATAGTTCAACATTTTTTTTAATTCGTTCCACCTAAAACCGGCCCAAAATTAATCAGAATAATATATCCAGAAGATAGCTCACTGACTAAGTAAAGCCTTGGCTGAATCGATTCAAGTTGATTTATGGGGGATTGAATTAGATCACATTTGAAAGCATTTTCAAATTAGACGTACAAACAGGGTATATCAACCATTCCGAATTTTATTAGAACATAATTCATATCATAAATTCGAGAATTCTGAGTCACTGAAACAGTATCTACTCAAACTGATCCATCATTTAATTTCATAAAACGAACAAAAAATTTCGCAGTACAACAAATTTTAGCGGGTCTTGATCAAACCATGCAAATATTTCATTATAACTTTTATTCCTAATTCAAATGTCAATTTAACTACCATGCTTTTCATTTTATATTCTCTATTTGACTTTGTAAAACATTGTTTATTTTAATTTTGTAATGTAAAATGACTAAGATTAAATAAAGAACTAAAATAAATTAGTTTTACAAAAATGAAGGACTAATAAATTAAATTAGTGTGTAAAATACACACATATATATAAAAGCATGTCTATAAATACCGACTTTGTTTTTTGGTCGACCAGCCTCCTATTCTAAACAGCAAAATGGCGGCGTGTGTCGTGGGTCAACGATTTTTTATATATAGATTTTTAGATGTATCAATTGGTCAATTCAAATTTTAAAACTCAAAGTAATTTTGCAAGTAAAAGGCATGATCATGCAAATTGCTAAAATATGCGTGATATATATTCTTGGCAGTTGAGTAAAAAAAAGATAGTAAGAAACGACAATGAATAGGATGTTTGTTTTTATTTTTAAAATTTTTTTTAAACATGCTCTTTACTTTTACATACAGCTAGTAGGCATTACTTTTACATACAGGCATCATACAACTACAGTAGAAACTCTTTAAATTAATACTCGATAAATTAATAAACTCTCTAAAATAATAAATTTATCCGGTCCCGACTTGGGCCAATATAAAAAATTGAAAAACTCGATAAAATAATAAGATAATAATTTTTCGGGAGATCCCTTTATAATTTTTGATCCTAAGAAAATCATAAATTAATAATTCATAGAAACTGAAAAATATATATTACACTATTGAAATATGATTCAATAGTTGTCTGTTTTCCTTTAAAGTTCAAGTCTATTTGGAGCTCATCTCTAACTTTTCTTATTGCATCCAATAGCTCAGGTGTTATATTTTTGTATTGTATCATAAAGTTGTGAAGAGTGTTCGACGCCATAAGTGCTTCCTTTCACGTAACAGGCTCCAAAGACACTGTATCATCTTCGTCGTCATCCTCTGCATTGTTTTCAATGATAGTACCCACAATATCTTCTAAACTCTGAACCTCCGAACATGCTTCATTTTCACCTGGGTAGTTCATTAGATTGTCGATATCCATCTTATTACGATGGCCACATTGATTGATCATAGTCTCGATGTCTTGAGTTTCTTTATCAAAAGTGGATTCATCCAAATTTCTTGCAACATCACTATCTGAACAAATTTTACAGTGTCGGAAGTAATTCGCTATTGTTTCTTTTCGAACATCTATCGTCCAAGCTGGAATTGCCAAATTGATAGCATCAAGGACATTTATCTTCCCTAGATCAGATTGTCCCACCTCATAACCTTCCAATATTTTGTGGTAAAATCTTCTACGGTAATGCATCTTGAAAGCTCTTATTATCCCAGCATCGTAAGTTTGAATCTTTGATGTCATGTTGGGTGGCAAGAAGAACAACTCAACATTACTTAGCCCTTCAATATTTCTTGGATGTGCTGGACAATTATCCACCACAAGTAGAACTCTTCTACCATGCATCATTTGGTCAAATGAACGAACATATTCATCAAAAAGCACACTAGTCATCCATGCTTTTTTGTTAGCTCGATACTGACAATTCAAGCTATTCATGTTGACATTCTTGAAGCAACGAGGCTTTGCATATTTCTCAATAATCCATAGAAAGATTTTTTCAGAGCCATCTTCATTGCAACAAATAACTACCGTCAGCCTTTCTTTATCTTGTTTTCTTCCTTCAAGTTGTTTTGTTGCCAGTGAATGATCAGCTTGTAGCCTATAAAACAACCCAGTTTCATCCATATTGAAAACATCTTTCATAGGGAACTGATCAATTTTCTCCCAAATCCATACCAATTTCTGCTCCATGTCTTGTATATCAACAGACCCACTCTCGCCAAAACGATGAAATGACTTTATGCCATGTCGGTGCTTGGATTTCCCAAGCCATCCTATAGAGAAGTTAAAATCTGAATCATCATGAGGGTACACGAGTTTCATTGTATCTCTTGCCTTCTGCAAAATTAATTCTCTTGTGATATTCACACGTTCTTGATGCTGGAGAAACCACTCATAAACAACCTTCTCCATGTCAGGATATTTTGCTGGTTTGTGTCTTTTGATCTCTGCTCTTCCCTTTTCTATTTTAGCAGAGAGATAGTCATTTGACCGCTTAAGTGTATTTGATATTGTTCCTTGACTAACTTTCAACTGAAATTTTTCCTCAAGCCATCTTTGCAAGTTTTTTGTGTGCTTGCAGGATTATCTCTCTTATACTCACACAACTCCTTACGTATTTGATCTGACATAGTTGATTTTGCAATACCTTTTAGATGAGAAGCCATCTTGTGAGATATGGTTTGAATACTCTAACACATTCATGTAATTTATATATGCCAAACTTGCTTAAGAATACATTGAACACATTTGTTCCTCTTGTTTACATTTACTGTACTTCAAAAGTCATTATTGATTTCTAATGCATATGTAGTGTAGTTACTAATTTATTGTACGTTGAGTCTCAAGGTTCGCTGCAACGTAATTCTAAGAGGCATAGATTAATTTACTTTTTTGTTTGGTATGTACAGTATAATTACTTAAAAACTCTTTAAATTAATAATTATTAATTTATTGATAAATTAATAACTCTCTAAATTAATAAATTTTTCTGGTCCTGATATTATTAATTTAAAGAGTTTCTACTGTAGTAAGTGATCCGTGTAAAGTACAGATAAATTATTATGTTGTAATATAATATTATAATTATTAATTATAACATAAAATAATTTTATAAAATTTTTATAATAATGTTTAAATTATTTTAAAGTTTGAAATTAATTAGTATATATGAATTATTAGTAATAAAAATATTAACTATTTAAATAAAAAATATAATATTAATTTTATAAAGTTAATTTTTTTATATTGACATTAATTTAAAAAAATTTATAATAAATTTAAAAATATTTTTTTGTGCATTGCATTTGGAATACTTTTGTATTTTTTTAATCACAATCTTAAATTTAAAAAGTTTTTTTTATAATAAATTTAATTTAAATTTTAAAATTAATCATTTTTTTTTGTATTTTCTATATTATCTTTCTCAACCACATAATCAATGTCATCTAATTGAATATGTGATAGACGATACCGAGTATCAAAACAACTAATTTTTCAAAAAAATTTGTAGTATAGAGCTAAACTTAAGTTAATTCGTAGAGACACATTTTTAGATAAATTCAATTTTCAGTTTTCGTTTAAAGAATGCGAGTAAACTTATGGGGGTTTGAAATTTGCAAATTAATTAAATTAGAGTACGAATATAATAAAATTGAGTAAAAACAGACGAAGAAATATCAATCTATAGAATACCAAACGCGTGTAACTCTAATTATCATAATATTTAAAGATTTAAATCCAAGTGTGAACGTTTACCTAATTTAATTATTAATTCAATCGAATAACTTAATTAAATTAGATCACATATTAAATCAAATTATCATTTAACTTAACCCAAATTAATTATCAAATTAGAATATCAACCGAATCTTAATTTGAATTCTAACCACAGAAAAATTAATCATAATCGCAATATACAAATATGAAATTAGAGAAAAGAGAACAAACTCGATGCAATTTGGCTCATAACTCAAATCAGATTTACAATGTTTGAATTCTGCAAATTGAACGAGAGATTTAGTCTTCCATCGAAATACTTAACCCACGTAAGAATGAGAAGAGAACAAGAGAATTTGAGAGAAAGTAAAAATAAGGATTCTTATTTCGGTTAAATCTAAAAAATTTAAAGTAATTAATACACCGCCCTAATTCAAAATCTTATTAGTCTATTTATAGATTCTGATTAGGATAAATTAAGTGGTCAAAATTTGGGCCTCAATAATATATAAAAGCTTAAATACAATTATTAAGTAATAAGGATTCAAATGTAATTCTGCAGCAATATTCAACAAATCTACCTTAATTTTAAAAAAATTATAAAAAATTAAAAACAACTCCAAATCCAGTTATCTATTTATGCATTTTAAAGTCTTGGATGTGAATATTCTAATGCAACTAGAATCAGTCAAAAACGATATATGTAGACAAAGTTATGACCAAAAGAATAATCAGAAGTCAGAATAACCGAAAATACGAAATTAAAGCATTTATTTGTAAAAAGTCTAATTTATTCAAAATAAGTAGAAAATAATAAAAACTCTAAAAATAAAGCATATGAAAAGTGTTTATTAATCAATATAAAACTATAAATGTAAACCTAAAATATATTATATCATTATGCATCAAAGATTCTTTTAAAATAATAAAGTAGTCTATAGGGTCAAATATGAAAGCGATTAAAATTAGAAAAAATGGAACTCATCAATTAGGTAGAGTTCATCCAACCTACTTAAAATTTTTGAGAATATAACAAAATTAAAACAGTTAAAAGAGATGTTATCACATCTGACATCAAATTTAACTCATTTATGTTTAGTGGTTTGCAACTTTTTTTCAAGAATAATTACCATAAAATTTTTCTATAATATATATATTGCCTTCATGTAATAGTTTTTTATAACATGATATAATATCCTTCCTAATAGTATAATAAATTTTAAAATTTTAAAATAACGAGAAGAGATAATTAAATTAAATTAAATAATAAGAAATTTTTATGCACTTTGACTAAAGAAATTTAACAGTTTTATCTTTTCATCAACCAAAATCATATCAACACTATTGATTTGACTTTTATTTTTAAACTTAAAAAAAAATCACAAATAAATGATTCAAGTCATTATCCTCCAATCCATATTTCTAGATTGTATTTCAGAAAGCATTGAAATCGTAGGTATTATTTTAAAGAAATATTATTTTGAACAAAAATCTGTATTTTTATTTATATATACTAAATAAAATACAACTTCTTTCTCTTTATTAAATATTTTACATTTATTCATGTAACTCTGATGCACCATTTAATTGTATTTATAATATTAAAATTATTTAATTATCTATAACATATTCAAATGTAACATCAATAACTTTTTAAATATATAAACTCATATTAATTCTTATCTATTTCATAACTTTTCAAATAAATAAATTTATTAATTTTTATACATTTACTCTACTATTTCTTATTAATTAGATATTAATTTTTAGCTTTTAATAATAAAATTTAAAACTGCCTTAAATTTTGTAAAAATAAATATATTAACATATTAATGTTAAAATTTAAAAAAAAATGTAAATATATTATTTGCATTTAAATTAATGCAAACTACAATTCGGACTAAGATCAAAACGGCAACTGTAAATGTAACACTCGACCAGTTACTTGCCAAGCGCATGGAGCATTGTGGCATTCTGAGCTTGTAATCGGTTCTCAGCTTAGTGGAAGATAATTGACATTCGACCTTCAATAACGCTTTTCAGCCACCAAGATCCATTAGACTTTGGTTCATCTGCATGTAAAAATCTTTACATCCACCGTGCATAAAAATTAAATTCTAAATAAAACAAAGAATAATTTAATAAAATACAAAAAAATAATAAATTTTAAAAGTAAAAAATATAAAAAAAATAAATTCAAACTGTAGTGGAAAACTTTTAGTACTAGTTATACAGTTCAAATTTAAGAATCTTCATTAATCAATAATCATATACCTTTTTTCTTTCTGCTAACTGGGAAGAGTTTTACTTCGTCTTAAATTTCAGATCTATCAAGAAAGAAAATCACTCATAAGTCTTCAAATTCAAATAACTTTGAGAATTCTTTTTTTCTTTTTTGAATTGAGTTTAATTTTGATGTACTGTAGTGCAATTTTTTTTTATATAGTTAATTAATTAAAATATATCATAGATATATTTTTATAATAAATATTACAGAAATTAATAATATTCATACTAAAATAACAAATTATGATTGAGTGACATTGTAAAAAAAAATTCTGTTAGAGTATTTAAATTAACTTTTTTATTATGAGAACCTTTTAATTATGTTGATTTTCAAATTATTAATTATACAGTAATCATTACAGAAACCAATTCTTCCATGTTTTTTTTTTCAAGCATATAACAGGTCCATTGTAATTAAAGATTGAAAAATATATTTAATATTGTTAAATAAAAGTTTAAAATAAATGCAAAGACGGATTCAACTATATAGATTGATTAAATCTGCCTTCTGTGCCAAAGGTGGGTACGTCAATACTCAATAATGTCTGAGAAAAAATAATTGAACGAAACCTATCAATAAAGGGTTGGCAAAGCAAAAGATAAGCATGCTAATACACTTGCAAGTTGTTGGCAACTAGTAAATGAATTACTAGAAAATTGTAATCTTTGGACAGAATTTTGAACAGATTTTTCATGAATTGTGGATATTTTTATATTGGTTTTTGACGATTTATTTCTGTCTGAAAGATCTTTACTGTAAAATTTTTAATCCGTCTCCAATTCTATTCAACTGTTTTTGGACAGATTTGATATTTTTTATTATGTTGTCTAGACAAAATTCAAACACAATAATATTATTTAATTTATATTTAGATGGATTTTTTATATAATATTAATAATATTTAATTTAATTATATCCTGCTGGCAAAATTTTATAGTGTTCAATTGACATGTTTCACATGGTTTTTTTAATTGCATATTTATGCATAATTGGGACAAAAATATTTATTTATTTATTTGCATATTGCAAACTTATTTTAGAAGAATTTATTAAATTATGATTTCTTTTCTCATGGATTCATAATATAATTGTATAAAATTATTTATTTTCGTTTCAAACAAATTGAGATTTTATACAGTTTGGATTATTATTATTGTTGTTGTTGTTATTATGATTTTGTTGAAGACAGTCTCACTATTTTCAATTAGCTTGCTTTCCGCTTCTTAATATATCTTATATCAACCTCAGTACTAGTGCTTTATACCACATGTTCACGTGTATGAACATTTCACGTATATGTCTATTAGTAAATTTTAATTTCAGTCCAATACCACGCCTCTACTTTAATATCGATAATATAATTGACAAAATGCTGGAATCAAAGATGAAACATGATTTTTTACAATAACTAAAAATTCTTAAAGACCAAGTAGACAAAATTAAGATAAAAAAAATGTACTAGAAAGAACAGTTATTATTAGTAATTTAACAAAGAATCATTATTATTAATATGCTAACAAAAGCAATGGAAACATGCAGCTAGCTATGTTTTATTGTGACACATAGTTTTGATGGAGAATAATAATATTAATCCCATCTAATTTTGTAATCAGAAAAGAAACAGTAGTTGTTAACATTCGAAAAGGCAACATGCAGCCTCGTTATTCCGAAACCTAACCAGAAAAAGAAGAGGAAGATCCAAAGACATCATCAGGGACACAGAGATATGAATCATATTTATTTCTGCGTTGTGCCACTAATTTCTGCAGTTTCGGAAAGAAGCCTTTTTTCTTTGCATGTTTCAACTGCTCCTGTGAACATATCCTCTAAGCTGTACTTAAATTTGAACCCCAAGTCTGTGATCTTCTTTGAAGAAAATCTAATAATTTCCAATTGATCTGGTATATTCTTAAACCTAAAAATCAAATGAGTTTAATTAGCACAACATACAATTTTATTTATTGATTATCCATATTTTAGCATGTATCCGAAAGCACATGTTAAGAACTTAAAAATGATTTTTTTATTAAAAATAAAAATATTTACTATCTCAAATTCATAAAAATATTCAGTACATATTTTATATAATAATTTTTAAAACATTTAATATGATATATTTACTATTTTTTAGAATGTATGGTTAGATACATATTAAAAAAGATTAATAAATGATTCATTTATATTAATTACTCTATATGCAGACAAGAAAATGAGATATTTAGGAAGGTTGGCTTACTTTGTGGGGACATTGAACTCAGGGTATTTTTGGTTAAGCAGTGATGCAATGTCATGAATGGTGGCCTCGTGTGAACAGCATATGTACCTCCCTTGGGCTTTTGGATGTTGGAAAAGGAATATATGTGCAAGACAAAGATCATCTAAATGCACGAACTGACCTTGCTTTATGATCGCGTAATGGCTCTCATTTCCTACCAATTACCATGCACATTAGTTGTTGCAAGATCAATATATAGTAATGAAGACATGATGAGTATAACGACTGTTATTGTGTTTATGTGGAAAGATTTTTATTTTTTTTTCAAATCATATCATTTCATTTCAACGTTAAAAATATAGTTAATATAAAAAACATAAACCATACATACTTAAAATATTTTTGTATAATAAGTAATTTATAAAATAAATATATATAATGCACCTGTGATGAGTGAAAGAGCAGTGATTAGGCTTGGTGGCATTGTGGGTACGAGGAAGGGGCCAACGACAAGGGGTGGAATGACTGAGATAAAGTCTATGTTGTTCTCTTTTGCAAATTTCCACGCTTCTTGTTCCGCTAGAGTCTTTGAGACGAAATACATCTACCAATGGAATCATGACATGAATCATCTTATTTTTCATGAATTGTAAGGAAAAAGTGTATCAGTAACATTAAATTAGCTTATTTTGCTCTAGTTTAAATGCTTTGTGAATTCATATTATTGACTAACCCAGCCAGTCATGCGCACCCTTCTGCAGAACTGAACGTCACTCCAGCAACTTTCATCAAAAAGAGGCTTTGGGTGCTCTGTAACGTCCACAGTTCCTGCTGATGATGTGAATACCAACCTTCGTACAGTTTTGGCTTTCATGCATGCTTTCATGATGTCTATTAATCCATTTATTGTAGGCTTTATCACTTCGTTCTGCATTTCAATCAAATATAGAAAAACGAGTTTGACTAGTAGCTGTTGGAATGTTAGGTTTATCAACATATGTGTATCTCTAAGACAAGTCATTAACATATCAACAGTAAGTCCTTGTCGTCCACCTCAAAGGTCATAATCGGCAATGTATATTTTTTTATTTACTAATATTAGCAACTTATTTATTGGTCTTTTATCGTATTGCTTCATGGGTACAATGTTAACAATGATTAATTGAATTTTAAATTGTTAATACATGATAATTTTTTATTTGCGTACGTGTTAATATTTATATTAGTGTATGGTAATTATGACGAAGATTTTTACTTTTTCCCTGAAAAATGTGACAGTTAATAATTCCATCAACTATGATAATATTTATAAATTTAGTGTAGCATCATATAAAATCATTTTGACGGGAGTTGACAATTTAAGATAGTTACTGAACGATCTATAAAACTCGGTTGTACATATAGAAATCAATTTGATAAATGAGAAGTAAAATTAAAAATAGTGTGATTCAAATTTTTATAATTTTTAATAAGTTCTTTAAAAAAGTGTGTTAGATACCTCAGGATCTTTGGACTCAAAATCCATGGGCGTGGCGACGTGGAAAACTCCAGTGCATCCTTTAATGGCTTCGTCAAAGCTTCCTTCTTCAGCAAGATCAGCCTTCCATAGAGAGAGGTTGGTCTTTGCATTTGGCAATTCCAGCAAATGCTTCACCTTCTTCATGTTAGCTGCAGTAGTGTTATGTATATCACAATTTTTTGTTGTGTGTTTAATAGTTTTATTAATAGTTAATGTAACTTAAAAATGTTATTGTGTGAGTAAAAGTGGTAATTTATGCATGACATGAAAAGTGATAGAAAAAAGTGACCTGGGTCGCGTACGGTGGCTCGAACCTTATAGCCATTCTGGATGAGTCTCATGACAAGCCATGATCCAATGAAACCGGCGGCACCGGTAACGCAAACGGTTTCGGAAGCTGAACCCATTATTTTTCTGCTTAGCTTGGAAATGGAATGGAAGAATGTGTATGAACTATGAAGTGTGTGCTTTTATAGAGGCTCCTGCGCAAAGAAAGTGGAGTGAGCATAGAGAGTGATTTGGTAATAATTGTTTTATGATTTCAATATTACAAATTAATATTAAACGTGGTATATATATATATATATATTTCAAAATTAAAAGAGAATAAATTTTTATTGTTTTATTTATTGATAATATATATTAGAAAGAAAAAAATAGGAAAAGTTTCTTTTGTTCTATATATATTTTTATATTTTTAATATATATTATTATGTTAATTGTCTAAAGATTTTATTATTATGCTCAAAATTAAATCAAATTAGTTTCCTAAAATATTTTTTCTTGATTTTAGTGACAAATTATTTTTTTCATCCTTTTAATCTTTAGTAATAAATTAAAATATAGTAGTATATATTTGAAATAAGTAAAAATAAAGACCTTTGGATTTCATTCTTCTTGTTATTTAATTTTAACACAATTTAATATGGATATATTAAAATAATAATTTTAAAAAGGAATAAAGCCTTATTTTAGTTTCTAAAATATGTAATTTGATTAAAGTTAACTTTTAAAATTTAAAAATTTAGTCTTTAAAATTAACGATCATTAATCACGTTAGTTGTTATCTTTAAAAAGTATTAAAATTATATAATGAGTGATAATTTGTTATGTTAAGTGACACATGTCATTTAATTTTAAACATTTATAATTTTTTAAAAATATTCATTTTTTCTCTAACTTTTTAATATTTTTCTTTCTTCTTACCATTATTATAATGACGTTCCTTCTTTCATGGTATCTTATTTGCCATAGTCTTACTCTTCTTTTTTCTTCATATTTTTCTCTTTTATTCAAGTCAAAATTTTATCTTTTTTCTTACAAAAACAACCTAATAAACTCAAGTTATTATTAACCCAAACATCATTTCTCAACCACCTGTTTTTCTACTATCACAAATCCAATCTTTTCTTCAACCTACTCCACACTCCAAGCTCCATATATCTTATTGTCCCCTTAACCCTCCAACTACCCTTTTATTTACAGAAAATTATCCTCTGACTTCAGTAAAATTAGTCCTTATTATGACTTATTACTCATCTAATTTGTTTCAAACATTCACCCAAATTTCTAGACGAAACTTGAATCTTATGATTTAGATGATAAAACTTGAGATGAAGGAACTTTGTGCCATTGCAAGGGAAGATACCTTATTAACCAAAAATATTAAAAATTAAGAATAAAAATAAACTATTTTTAAAATATTATAAAACGATATCATTTTATGTGAAAATTGAATTGATATGTGTCACTCAACATGACATATCGTCACTTTATTATTCGCTTTTAATGTTTAACATGATTGAAAATTATTAATTTTAAGAATTAAAAATTTTAAATTTTAAACTTAAGAGAATTGATTTAAACAATAATGATGCATGTTTTAAATATTAAAGTGAATGTTTAGTCTTTGTAAAAATAATTTCATTTGATTAAAAAATATATTAAAAATTACTTTTATATGTATTAAAAATGATAGAAAAAGATATGTTAAAAGTACTTTTAGAGAAAAGTTTTTCATTAAAAATAATAAAATATTTATTAAAATTAATTTTGTGTTTATTTTAATTCCTAAGAATGAATTAAAAAAATATTTATTGTATTACAAATATAGTACACAATTTATAAGAAAATTTTAGTATTATTGTTTTTTAAAATTTAATTATAAATAGCAGAGTGTTTAAAGTTATTATAATATTTTTATTAATTATACTTAACAATGCGGTGTGAAATTAAAATCCGCTTAGTTTTGACAAGGCAACGTGTCTGATCCACATCCAAACAAATATTTGATGAAAAATGTTACGTATACCCCTTCGTGAGTCACGTGATCACCAACCGTTTATTGAATTGCTATTATGCAATAGTTAGCTGCGTCTGCTCACACTCACACTCACACCCACTGTTCCCTCCTTTCATCGTCCCTTCTTTGTCCCTCTCTTCTACAAACTAGAAAATAAGATCAACTAACTTTCCTACTATATATATATAAACCCCAATTAAGATTGATAAATTAGCATAACTTTACATCATTTTATAAAACCGTATTAAATAGAGATTAATTATTTAATAGAGATTGTTTTAGTTTAATATTTTATTTTAAATTTGAATCACAACATTTATTAAATTAAATACTTCCCTTAACTAATTTTTTCATCTGTTCTCATCGTTATCCGAGTTAGCCCATTGTAGCAACCAGCAAGATTAGGTATCAACGAACATATAAAAAGTAGAAAAAAAAATCTTAAATAATAATAATAATTTTAATATTATTTAACTTTTTAAAAAAATTTAAAAAGAAAAAGAAAAAATAATTAGAGTAAATAAAAAATTCTCAATTTTAAAAAACTTAAAAACATGAAAAAGAGTTTTGATGAGTTCTTAAAAATTCTTTCTCCTATTTAAAAACTTTCAGTAAAAGTTATCAGTAAATAAAATTTATTCCTTTTCCTAACTTTCTTCTTCCGAAATCAACTTTCAAACAACGTAAACAAAGGTCAATTGCAATGCAACACTCCCTGCTTACTATTACTGTTACTTAGTTTATATAACTAATTTTCTTATAATATTACAGTCTAAAATTTTCATTATTTTTTTAAAAGTTTACTGTTTCTTATTGTTGTTACTCATATCGATACTTATACTTTAAATAAAAAGAGAATAATAGTAAATAAAACACTTTTAATTTTTAAAAATATTTTTTAAATATTTAAAAATTTCAAACAAAAGTTGTTAATAAATATTTTTTTTTATATTTTTCTTTTGAAATCAATTTTAACCGAGAATGATTAAATTGCAATAGAACACTCCTACATAGAGTATTACTACTATTTAATTTATATAACTATTTCTTTTATAATATTAAAGCCTAATATTGTCATTATTTTTTCAAAAGTTTATTGCATGTTATTGTTGTCGTTATACCCATACTCATACTTTAATATTGTCGCCCTTATTTTTTTTATTCTTTCATTAATTTTAAAAAATTAACACAATATTCATTAATATTTTTATCAAATAAATTCGTGCTTTTCAGTTATTTTACAATGCTATAATCAGAACTACTAATTAATTTTGTTTAAACTTTCTCACTTTTTTTTTTAACTTACTATGTGTTTAATATTATTATTAATTAAGTCTCTCCATTAGGGATGGAAATAAGTTAAGTTATCTAATTGGGGCATACAACTTAACCTTTTTAAATTATAACTTGCCTTAACTTATTTAATTAATAAGTTTAATTAATTAAATAAGTTAGATTTGAGTTTAAAAAAAAACTATTAGACTTCTCAGAATGACTTATATAAAACTTATAAAATTTATAATAATATATTAAATAATTTTATATAAAAAATAATATAATAATATATTAAATATATTAAATTTTAAATAAATAAAATCTTAAATTAAAAATCTTAATTCTTTTCATTGAAGTTGAAAAGTGTCTTTACTACATACTCTGTAGGAGAAAAAGTTTTGTTTGTTAGAGTCTTTTACATAATTTATACATATATATCGATTTACATTTGTGTTATCTCGATTATGTCTATAGTTATTAATCTCATCTCGTTTATAATTTTCTTACACACATGTGTTATATATATATTCTTTTTTTATTATAAAGTAGACAATTAAAAATGTTAATAGACTAAAATAAGCATTTAAAAAGGTCAGACTAAGTTTAATAAAAAATCTATTACAAATAATAGGTCAAGCTTAGACTACTTAGATTTATTTATACAAATTTTAGTTTAATTTATTTTTATCCCTATTTTTTAAAAGTGGGTAAAAAATCTAAATATAAAGTTTCAATTTATAACCTAAGCTAAACTGAATTAAAAAAAATCCAAATTTAAAAAAAAATTGAAATATTCAATCCACTTTATTTTTGTTCCCGACATGATTTAGATTTCATTTTACAAAATTGAATTTTCTTTTATTAAAACTGGTTTTAGTCCATCCCTTCATGTAGTCTTTATCTAGCGTGGTTACAACAGGCAATTGAGAATAATTGAAGATTCGTATAGTTGATTTTGAGCTTACCATCCTAATTTAAAAGTTTCTTTTAAATTCTTTTCTCAAATGTTGATCGTACATTACATTTGTCGTGTGAAGAAACAAGTATTTTAGATAAAATTATAAATTTAAAATATTATAATATATTATAAAATTTAAAGATACAAAACTTATAATTTCATATGATCATAAAATTAATAAAATATAATATACTAATAAAAATTAAAAAAATTAAAATACATATTTTAATAAAAATATTTTTTTTATATAAAATACCATATAAATGATATATAAATATTATAAAGTACATACTAAACAAAATTATATATATATATATATATATATATATACATTTTAATTTATTATAATTAAAAATGATAATAAATATTTTATAAATTTTTATAAAATATAATATAATTAATAAATATTACAAAAATATTTTTTAAAACACTAGTTTAATGCAATGGTGCATAAAATAAATTAGTTTTATCTTAAAAAATAAATTCACAGATGTATTGAAAATTAATTTTATCTGAAAAATTAAATTTAAAATTAATTTTAAACTAAATTCAAAATTTAAAATTACTTTTAAAATAATTTAAAAAATTAAAATAAAATATTTTAAAATTTAATCTGTATAATTAATTTGTACAGTAGACAGATGATATAAAGTAGAATATATATAAATATATATTAATTTAATAAAATAAAAAATAAAAAAATTATATTATTAATAGATTAAAATATATATAAATATAATTTTATATTACTTATTATAAAATTTAAATATTTTAAAATATAATAATTTAATAATAATATAAAAAAATATTTATAGTATATTTTTATCTAATTTAAAACCAGTTTTAAATTAAATTTAAATTTTGAAATCAAATTTAAATCAATTTAAAAAAAAATTAAAATGGATTGGTTCAAAATTCAATCTATATAATTAAATTTTAAATTAATCTATATTATTTTACTAAGTTGATAGTGATATTTTTTCACAATGGCATACACGTCATAAATCCAGATAAAGGGAAATAAACGAAGATACATAAATTCCTGTTTCTAAAGCCTTTTTTTTCCCTGGAACCATATGTGCACTTAGCACTTAAAAGACGTAGTTTAAAGTAGCATTGAGTATATAGGAGCACACAATAACAAAAATCTAATGCAAACAAGACCTGAGTCGATAGCTTAGACTTGTTATAGGAAGACCGAAATAAGAAAAGCAAGATCCTTCACAGCTATTACAGGCACAAGGATATGAAAGTCTATTTATTTATGGTTTCTTGAGGCATAGGAAGAAGCCCTTTTTCTCTGCATGACTCAATCGCTCCGACGAACATATCCTCTAAACTGTATTTAAATTGGAATCCCAAGTCTGTGATCTTCTTGGAAGAAAATCTCACAAGCTCCAATTCATCTGGAATATTCTTGAACCTGAAAATCCATTAAGATGTCGTGATTTAAAAAAAAGAAAGATAAAAAAATTGATTTTTTAAATAAATTGAGTTCAAATGAATTATTTTAATTTAAATAAATTGAATCTTGTTAGTTTCAAAACTGCATAAGATTGAGATCCAAAAGGAATGGTGTAATGGAAAGAGTTGAATATTTGAAGTAGGTGGAACAGAGACTTACTTTGTGGGAACCTTGTACTCTGGGTACTTTTCATTAATTAATTTTGCAATGTCATGAATTGTAGCGTCACATGCGCTGCATATGTACCTCCCTTCTACTTTTGGCTGTTCGAATATAAATATGTGAGCATAACACAGATCATCCACGTGGACAAACTGCCCCTGCTTTATGATCGAATAATGGGCCTCATTTCCTGTCAATTTTTAAGTTCACTTCAGCATATATCTTCAGAAGCCAAAAGCCATGTTTATGTATAATATATATTTAGGTTCAGTTTATAAACTTTCTCTAAGACAATTTTTTAAAAAATTGTTACTCATGCACCTGCGATGGGAGAAAGTGCTGTGATTAAACTATGAGGCATTGTTGGCATGAGAAATGGGCCAACTACAAGAGGTGGAATAATGGTGATCAAGTCCATGCCATGCTCCTTTGCAAATTTCCATGCTTCTTTCTCCGCCAGTGTTTTTGAAACGAAATACATCTACGTACCAACCAAGATTAAGTCATTATCAACCCATGTAAAGACATTATTTTTTCTCTTTATTTGTCTATTTCCCATTTTTACTTTTAATAGACACGAGACCGAGGCCCACATGATCTCTCTGTCCGTGTGTACTTATCCTTTTCTTTATTATTTATTTCGAGATAGGAAGAGACAGAAATTGCCAAAAAAAATATATAAAAAATGGTTTAAATATATTTTTATCTTTGAAAATATGTTACTTTTCCTTTTAATTTTATTTATTTTGTTTTTACATTTAAGAAAATAAATATATTTTGGTCTTTTATCAGTGACTAAAATTCTATGGTTTTAAAATTTTGATTAAAAAAATCAATAAAATTCAAATAGAGATTCATTTTTCAAACAATCATAAATTGAAAACATATTAAACTCTGAATTGTTTATGTATCTTTTGCAATAATTTAAGGTATTGAGAAAGATTAATAGTTAATGACATGTTATCATAGTGTTTTAGATTTTATTAATGATTATAGTTTAGTTGGTTCATGTCATTAGCCTTTTATGATGATTAGTCTATTGGATGTTCCTGCACAAACTGCTCAAAACTTGGGGGGCGGGGAAGCTAATAGAGAAAATGTTAATTTTATAATTTTAGTAGTCATCTCTGTTATTTTTGCAATGTATTTTGAAAATATATGTAGAAAAAATAAACTAATTGTATAAAATATTATGTAAAATTGTTTAATTACTAACCCAACCAGTCATCTTGACTCGCCGACAGAACTCAACGTCACTCCAATTGGTCTCGTCGAGCAAAGGCTTTACCTCCTCCGTAACGTTAATGGTTCCCGCTGAGGATGTGAATATTAGCCTTCGGACACTTTTAGCCTTCAAGCATGCCTTCATGATGTTTATCACTCCATTTATTGTAGGCTTTATCATTTCATTCTGACATTTCAATTTCATATCAGATTCAATCTTCATCAATAATAATTTTTCAGAATCAATTCTCTACTCCAAAGCTACCAAATGGGCAATATCTAGCTAGCATTTAATTTTTTTTTTTTCATCTCGACATTAAATCTAGAATCATGCACGTTTAAGTGGTTCAGATTCTTTCCCCTCAAACGAAAACGAGTTTGAACTTGCGAAAATTAGTATAGAGAATGTTTTTATACCACTAAAGTCAAACATCTTTTTTAATTGTAGTAAGTATTTTAAAGATGCTTAGGTATGTAAACAATTATATATTTTATTACACACGTTATTCATATTCAGATGTTCAAGTAACATAACTGAATTAGTATACAAAGCTTCTAGGTATATTAAGAAATGAAGTGTGAATTTGTTAGAAACAAATGATGACAACATACTTTTTATTTTGAATTATATATTTTATTTTTATTTTTTAGTTTTTAATTAATAAAAATGTCTTAAAATGAATTAGAAAATATATTTTGAATACTCCTCTTTAATGGGTGGCCAGAAAATCAAAGAATGAATGATGAGTAAACCTCAGGGTCCTTAGACTCAAAGTCCACAGGGGTAGCCACATGGAAAACTCCAGTGCACCCTTTAATGGCTTCATCGAAGCTTCCCTCTTCATTAAGATCAGCCTTCCATAGAGACAAACGGGTCTTTGCACCTGGCAATTCTAACAAATGCTTCACCTTCTTCATGTTATCTGCAAGGTGCATGAATATGATATATGATGATATAAATTATAAATAAAATACTAGTGTTATGTCATATAATATTTTGTTACCAAATTAAACACCAAGTGACATGAACCATGATGTTAGAATCTGACCTGGGTCGCGAACCGTGGCTCGAACCGTGTAGCCATGCTCTATGAGTCTCATGACAAGCCATGACCCAATGAAACCGGCGGCACCGGTAACGCAAACAATTTCGGATGTTGAACCCATTTCTTAAGTTCTCTTTTGCTCACCCAAAGAATAAGATAAAGTTGATCTTCTCTCTTTGAATGTTGTAATGGGAGACGATGATGGAATCTTTTTATAGGAGCCATGTTATGCAGTGAGGGGAGTGAGAAGAGAGGCCAAAGAATGATAACAGTGGGCTTTATTTACCTACCAATCCAAAATTCTAGAAATCAGTTGGAGGAACGAGTAAATATCAAATCAAATCAAATGCTAATATTGAAAAACAAGTTTTAATTCTCAAAATGGATTATGTTCAATTATTTAGTTCTTCTTTTATGCTATTTTTTAATTTAGTTAATTTAATCAAATTCAAATTGCCAAAAGTTTTATAGGTTAATTAAATATTTATTTAATAATTTTTTATTATATACAAGTTTATTTTGTTATCAATTTAAAGAAAACTTTTATTAAAAAAAATTAATATAATTTATTAGAGAGTGTGTCGATTGCCCCCCCCCCCCACACACACATACACACACATATTATCACTTTCTTTTAAGTGACTTTTATCAAAAATACTTTTTTATAACAGACATTTCCTTTATTAGAAATATAATTTTTTTTTATAAATTCTTAAGTATTAAATTGATTGATAATGTTAAATTTTAAAATAAAATTAATTAATAAAACTAATTTTTTCTTACATTTTAAGAAAAAATTAATCGATCATTAATTTTTAGAAATTAAATTAATATTTTACTTAACTTAATTAAACATTAATGATAGTGCGGTCAACTAATAAAAAGTTATAACTTCTAATTGACGGAAAAAATCAACAGAATATTTTCATGACAAATATTAATCATAATAATTCTCAAGTTAAGTATATATTATATGTTATGTCGAATATATTTACTATGTTAATGTAATTTTTTCATTAATGAAAATGATTCTACAAGAATAAACTGCTAAATTTTTAGCGGATTCAAAATTTTTAATGAGTTTACAACAAATAAACAAATAACTTCAAAAAGTTTTTATGTACGACAGTGTACTTAATTAAATAACCTTTGGGTTGCTTACTGCTAACGATATCCTCACGCAAAAATATCTATATTCATGGATACTTACGATAAACTGAGATTATTTTTACAGTGTTTTTAAAAAGATTTTATATATATTAAAATAATACACTAAAAGACTAAAAGTATGTTTGATTTATTTTTAAAAATTAAAAACTGAGTAATGCACTCTGAAACATAATTTTTAATATGTAAATTTAATTTATTTCATATGTTAAAAGGAATTAATGTTTTAACTTTTACTCTTCGGATACCGTTGAAATCCTTTGTAGTGTACGTCGTTTGACTTGCTTACGTATATGGTGTGATCTTTTTCCTTCAACACGTGACCACCAGTCAGTTAATGGAATTTGATGGTTGCTAGATTCAGATCATTTGGTTGATGGGTGGCTTTCTCATCTACCTTTCTTTCAATAATTGAGTTTTAAGTTAGAAATATCATTTTCATATTAAAAAAATATTTAATTTTATTTTTCTTTTATAAAAGATGGCTATCTAAGATTTTTAAGAAGATAAAATTGTTTTAATTATGCTCATAAGTCTTTTATCAAAATTGTTTAAGCCTGTTATAAACATATTTATAGTACTTGTAAGAGTCATGATTCTTATAAAATATGTTTCTAAAAACTATAATTCTCAAAAATACAAAAAAAAAATTTTCTAACTAAATACTCCCTTATAAAATGTAAATATGTAACAATGCATTATTCCTCTAAGAAAGTAACGGCTAACTTGAATGTAACAGTATAAATTATAGTTATTATTTAAAATTATTGATTAATATTATAATAAGACGTGTATCATAAATTATAAAATTATTTAATTAGTAATATGTTCTCAGATTCTTAATTATTAATTTTTAACTGATAATTATAATTATTTACTATTTAGTGATGAATTTAATGCTCTATTTAAAAGTTTAATCTATATAATAGTTATTCTCTCGATTTTTTTTTTCATATTAGATGTGAATATTTTATTTATATATTAAGGTATTCAGTTCCATATTTTTTTCTAAAATTAAATATATAATTATTAATAAAAAAATTTTAAGAATATTTGCTAAAGGTGTATAGAATCCTTACAGTCTAGGAAAAAATTTGTTAGAATTTGTATAGAAATAGACCTTATGAGGAAATCGGTCTTTACTTTTAAAACAGTAGGTCAGGAATTTAAGGTGAAATATAAGGAATTACATTTAATATGTTTTTATTGTGGTAAATATGCACATCATTAGGAATAATATGTTGAGAATATTAAACCTTGTTAGGGGGTTAGAGAAACTGAGGTTAATATACCTAACAGTCCAATAGGTAATGAAGATTTAATAGGGAATGTCTCTAATATAAGTAAGGATATGATTATAAACTGTACTAATAATGAAGTTGGTTCAAAGGAAGACTAATTTAGGAAGCAGAATTTAACAACTATAGTACCTTAGGTCCCTCCAAGAATAAGAGTTCTAGCCCTAAGGTTGCTGTATCTAATAAGTAGTTTAGTAAGCCTTAGCTTAATACTAAATCTTCTTATCTTTCTAGAAAAGGATCTAAGTTCATATCTATTCTTAAAGTGATGAATTTGGGTAAAGGTAAAGGTTTGGCCTTTCAGCCTGATAAGTCTAGCAGTATTAATAATGAGCAGGTAGACCAGAAGAGGGACCTTAGTCAAGAGAATAAAGAAAGCATTTTGTTGATAAAATCTTATAAGCAAATCTTACAGGAAAAAATGAACTTGGGATATTCTATTTAGGATCTCATAAGTCTTAGTTCTGGACTTTCTTCGAAGGAGCAAGATACCCCTTTCCTGGATGCTACTGACAGACCTCTAGATGTGGCATTTCAAATGGATCTTGATAGAGTTAATAATAAGGAAAATTTTAGTATTATAAATAATGATGTTGTAGAGAATGATACAAAACCTTCTTAGCATTGTGAGGATGCTTTCAAATTCATTCCTTGATTTTATAAATTGTCTGTTTTGGAATTGTAAAGGTGTTGCTATGGGTAAAACCTTTTCTAAGCTCATAACTTATTTGATTAAAATTCATAACCTAGACTTTATTGCCCTTTTTGAATCTAGAATTAACCTAAATAGAGCTAATTTGGTCATTAAAAAAAATTCAATCTAGATGGTTCTATTAAGGTTGATGCTATAGGTTTTGTTGAGAGTATTTGGTGCTTCTGTAATACTAAGAAAATTAAGGTTACTGCTTTAGATAAAAATAAATATTTTACTCACTTAAGAATTAGTAATGGTAAAAAAGTTGGGTGATTTTCTCTGTTTATGTTAGCCCTTAGGTAAGTCTTAGAGCTCAATGCTGAGAGTCTTTCAAATTTTAGTAACAGAATTAACTACTCCTAGTGTTTAGTTGGGGACTTTAATTCTATTCTTTTTAAAAAGAGAAATATTGTGGGAGACTTGTCAACCTTGGTCTTTTAAACGAATTTGTTGTTTGTCTTAATTCATGTGGGCTTTAGGATTTGGGTTTTAAGGGGAATCTCTTTACCTAGCATAGAGGAAATATTAGGGAGAAGATTGATAGAGTTGTAGTCAATGACCCTTGGAGGATGTTAAGTCAAAATAGCCCAGTTATCTATCTTCCTGTTTTAAAATTTGATCATGTTGCTCTTTGGTTAAAAATTAGGAGCAAAGATAGTACTTGGCAATGTCATAAATCTTTTAAGTTCTTGATTCCTTGGCTGGCTCATGATAATTTTAAAAATTAGGTTAGAAACTCTTGGATCATTTCTAAATGTTGGTCTGAAAATAATAATAATTTTAGAAATAATATTTTTAATTGAAACTTTAATATTTTTGGTAATATTTTTAAAAATAACAAAGATTATTAAATAGGCTCAAAGGTATTTCTAATAAATTAGCTGTTCAAAATAATCCTTATCTTGTTAACCTTATGAAATCCTTGTAGCTTGAATATTAGAGTATTTTGGACTCTGAAGAAATTTTTTGATTTCATCATTGTAAATCTAGTTGAATTAAGTTAGGGAATAGGATTAATAAGTTTTTCATAAGGCTGTAGTGATTCGTAGATAGAGTAATTAGATTGAAACTCTTAGAGATAATAAAGGTGATTTTGAATTTGACTCTTTCAAACTCCAAGATATAGTTGTTATATATTTTAAGGGTTTACATTTCAATCCTTGCCCTAATAGTAGTCCTCTCTTGATTGTTTCTAAGTTTCCTCTCCTTAGAGAAGCTGATTTTGTTTTAATTAATTATGATCATAATATTGAAAAGATTAAAGCTACTTTATTCAACATAAGAAATTTTAAATCCCTTGACCTAAATGGACTTCATCCTATTTTCTTTAAAGACCAATGTGAATATCTAGCTTCTTCCATTTTCACATTTGTCCTTGAGATTTTTAATAATCCTTCTAAGATCAGTATGTTAATGACACTACTATTTCCTTAATTCCTAAAGTAGATACTCTCGAGTATATCAAGCGATTTAGGTTCATTTTTCTATGCAATGTTAGCTATAAAATTATTACCAAATTGCTTGCTAACAAAATTATGGGGACCCTTCCTTATATTATCTCTGCCAACCAAATTAGTTTCATATCAGGTTGGTAGGGTATTGATATTATCCTGATTCTGCAAGAGCTTGTTCATTCATTTAATAAACTTAATCATAGGAGTAATTTCATGATTATTAAAATTGATCTTAAAAAGGCTTATGATAGGCTTAGATGGAGTTTCATTGATGATACTTTACAGATTATTAGTTTTAGCCCTAATAAGACATTATATTTCTTGTTCCTTATATATAAATTGGAATAACAATAAAACTGAGACCTTTAAACCAACAAGAGAATTAGGCAAGGGGATCATATTTTTTCTTATATTTTTGTTATGTGTATTGAGAGACTAGCTTACTTGATACAGGATAAGGTAAATAATGACAGATGAGTCCCTTTCTTTTTTAGTAATAAAAGGCCTAAAATATCTCATCT